TCAAACAAAAGAGTGTTAAGAAGTCTTTAGTTTAAACATTAGAATATTTTTGAGGTGCTGGAAGAGGGCTGCCGCCTGTTTAAAAATGTATTTCAAATTGTTAAATGAGTTAAATGTATTATTAAAATACGGGTATCAATCGAATGGGTTTGAAAACTCTTTATTTCTGAACTATATTTGGCGGGGTGACCACATGTTTAAAACATAAAATTCAACTTAATTCATCATTTAATTAAAATATGTATCGCAATGTTAGCGGAAGAATATTTAAGAATATCTTTTACGTAAAAATAGTATATGCATAACTACTTAGGGCCGGTTACTCAATGTCTGGTTAACACTAATCTGCGGTTAAACATCGTTATCGACGTTACCCACTACCTGTTATGTGCATTGAGTCGAAGACGTCGGTAACGATGTTTAACCGCAGATTAGTGTTAACCAGACATTGAGTAACCGGCCCTTAGGCTATTATATATGTGTGGAAAATGCATCACTTTGAATTCAGTGGATTTCATCTTCCCGCATTTTTTAATACATATTACTATAAAACGGTATTTGTAACTTAACGCGATTTTACTGGCAAATAAACCCTGTTGCCGCTGTGGTGTAGTGGTAAGCAGCATGAACGAAAGACACAAGATCACGCCTTCCCGAAAGAAAGAAAAAAGTTATTTTCTAATTGTTGAAATCTCGACGCCATCTTTGTTGTAAGAAGTAAACAACGAAGAGAACAAAAAAAAAACCGCGTAATTGTTGAACGCATGAATAATCATTTTTATTATGCAAATTCTTCGTTGTGTTAAATTATTCTTTACCTTACGTGTGCACACGTTGTCACAAGCGAAAATTAAGAAAATTGCAGTAAAAGGCCATCACCAAATTGTAAACAACGAACAAATGTAAACAAACGGCTAATGTCAAAGTCGCCCAACTTTTTTCCTAAATGCGATTATACCGGGCTACTAAGAAGGCGTGATCTTGTATTTTTGGTTCATGGTAAGCAGTGTGCGCTTTCACTCATCAGCACCTGGTTTCAAGCCCTGGTCAAAGCAACACGGCAAAAAATATATAAAAAGGTTTTTTCTTAACAGCGGTCGTCCCTCGCCAAACACTAACATATGTGTAAGAGCAAATCTGAAATATAAAACAAATATTAAGAAAATTGCAACTTTTGTTCGTTGTGTTTAATCAAAGTTTCGCATTAAATTTTTCTATTAATTGCCTATATGTACATGTTTTCGTCTATCTATTGGAGAATGTTATAAAAAATACACACTTTGGCAGCGCTCTCACGAGAAAGTTTCACAGTCTTCAAAAGAGTCACAACCAGAGTTGCCACTGACGAAAAAAAAATTTACCATCCACTTGAAAAAAATCTACCAAATCTGGGAAATATCTACCAATAACTTTTTATAATTATTTCAATCAAAACTATAGCTTTGTTATTTTTTTATTTATTTTAATTAAAACTATACTTTTCTTTATTTTTTTTTAGTTATTTCAATAAGAATTAAAATTGTTTTTAAGAACTTTTTATTTAACTAGTTATACGGTATTTGAGTCATATTATTGGCATATTCTCAGTTTCCTTCAACCAAAAGAGTGAAGTGATGAAACTATAGGCAACAAAGAAACTTCATTATTTGAAAAACTTCAACTTGAGTTATTATAGACAAATACCGTGACTCAAAAAAGTGATTTTTTTTAATATTCGCAATATTTTTCGAGTAAAAATTTTTTATTGCTTTAACTAAATCCATAAAAATCGAGGATTCAAACTATATACAACATATAGAAAAATTCCAAAAATTTTCTTCTAAATTTCGAATTTTTTACTCTGAATTTTTAGAACAATTTAAGGTATGGAGTTTTAAAGCAAATACTATTTGAGTATATATATAACAATGTGCTGCTTAAAATTCCCGTTGATTTTTTTTTTTTCTATTGATAAAAAATGGTGTTGATTTAATTTTTTTGCGAAAAATCATAGTGCGTAATTACATACCTGTCAATTTTTTTTTTTATATTTAAATAATCATTTAAAATATTTAGGCAATCAAAAGCTCCTCGGGATTCCAGTAAAATTAGTTTGAATGGAGCGAGATATGTTCGCCTTATATCGATATACATTTATACGTATGTAATTATATAAAATGTATGCAAAGAAATTTTTAATATATTTAAAGATAACTACGAAAAATAAATCGGGAACGGAAAGTTCATCAAAAATCTACCAAAATGAGAAAAAATTTACCTTTTTACCAACCCAATTTTTTTCTACCAATTTTGGTAACAATTTACCAAAGTGGCAACCCCGGTCACAACTCAAAATAATACGTTTGTCAGAAAATGCGAAAAACTATTTCTTAGCACGTGATAATCATATGGGCAAGGGCGATTTTACCTTAGGTATTTTTTTGAATTATAACAAAAATTTGCTCCAGCTTTTGCTGAAAGGTAAATAAAAGCTCTGTACATTTTTAGCGCATAATTTCAAAAATGCCAAATTTCGAGTTGTGACTCTTTTGAAGACGGTGTGCGATATCTAGTTATCCATAACTTGCGTTGCCATACCCGACAGCACATTTTCTCCCACTTTTCATTCCTACCTAATAAGAAATGCACTATTTTATCGACATAACAAAATAGTCGAATGATTGATGCCGACATTACCCAAAATGCACAGCGCGAACCGGTTTGGGTCATTTATTCACTAGCCTGAACCGGTTTGGGACATATTCTCATTTCTTTCATCGCACAACGCGAGCAAAACAAAATTGCTTTTTAATTCTTGTTTTCATCGCTGCTTCGGCTCAACGGCGAAGCGACACTGTAGCGAACGCAATGTCATCTAATGTGCTGGGTGCCAGTGGGTGCACACAACAGAAACGTGTACAAAACGCGATGTGTTGAATGGCCCAGGAGGGGATGACGTCGCATTAAAATGACTGCATTATCTACACTGGTTGGCATGACAAGAAACAGGAATAATATAAAGCCAATAGAAAGGAAGCAAACCCAAAGTGGATGCAATAAATGAGAAAATGTTGGTAGTCGATTTACTAACGAAAATTAGTCCATAAAATCACCTTCTCACCTTTGTTTTTATTTCAACAACATAGAACCTTTTCGCAATAACACGATTTAGTTAAATTCGAGATGTATCTGCAACTTTAACTCAAAGGAACAAATTATTTTTTAAGCCTGTATGACAAAATCTTCCTTCAACTCAAGGCGAAAAAATATATTACCAAAAGGAAATGGCGAAGAGCAATGAAAAATTCGTTTATCTCTTTCGCACATTACTATTTGGCATTTTTTGCACAAAAGAGACAAAAATAAAAACATGAATAGATTGTGAATGGGCAATAAACGGAACAGGTCAAAAGGACAGTGCTGCATTCGATCTTCCAGTAAGAATTTTGTACACAATTAAGAAAACATGTGCATCAAAACCGAAAGCCGACCCGCAATGTTATTAAAAAAATTAAGTAGCAGAAGCAAATAGTATAGGTATGTAGTATTAAATACCCTTCATACATATTATAGGTATGTCGGGAAAACATCAATGCATCGAAAATATCGATTGTTGTTGTTGTAGCGGCTACTACAACAACAATCGACGAAAATATCGATGTTTTGCTTCGATGCATCGATACAGCAATGTTTCTTACAAACTGACATCTCTAGTACATTGAACCATCATTAGTTTTTCAATTATACAAAAACAAGGAGTGACTTTAGCCAAATAAATTAAATGGCTCCAAAAATTTACGTTAGAAATATAATTAGCTCAGTTGCAGTAATTTATTTAAATTTTTGTACAATTTTGCTAATAACATATCGATGCCAGTACTCATATCTGCAAAAAAGTATCGATAATACTCGTTAGTTAGCACAAATCAGATTGCTTTGCTGTTTTAACCTGCTCCAATTTGTAAATTGAATAGTCACTGCTTTTAATAGTTTAAATCTGATCTAAAGCAGTTTTTAAAATAAACTTCCAATAAATTTAGTTTTACATAACCTTCCTTGGGGCAATATAGCCTAGTAGCCCAGTTCCAAAAATATATTTTATAAATTTATTTATAAAATATAGAATAAATAAATAAATAAGTTTAGTTTTAAATGCGTAAATTATATGTTTATAGCAAACAGCTTATTTCAAGGTTTTTAAATCACATACATGTACATATTTTATATATATTATATATATAAATATATGGCCTTATTCATAAAAAATAAAGTAGGTTTAAAGAGTTTAATAAATTGACGTTTTCATAAATTTTTCAATATAAGGCTACTTTATTTTTTATGAATAAGGTCATTAATATATAAATAACTTTACTTTGAAAGTGAAATGCAAATGTAGAAAACGAGAAGCAAATGTGGTGAAGCCCATTCTCTAACGGAAAGATAAGCTCTATTTCATAAAAATTTTCTTCAAGAATGGGCTGGATTTCGAATTCATGGTTATAAGGTTGGTCGAATGAATGGCCGTCCTAGTCACCAGTTCCGAGTCTATTCGATTTGAGTGTGAGGCCTTATGTTGGACAAAAGGGGGAGTATAAGGGACTTAAAATTAAGAAAATTAGCCTATGGTTACAGAAGATATGGAATAAATTAATTGACGAAGACCTGCGTGCCAAATGAACTTTTCTTTCAAAGTTTACACTGCTGGCAAATGTAAATAGGGATTAAAATGTAAAAATTAATTTAATTAATTAATTTCCACTATTCATTTTCAGATCATACATTTATGGCCTTATTCATAAAAAATAAAGTAGGTTTAAAGAGCTTTATAAAATGACGTTTTCATACATTTTTCAGTTTATAAACCTTTTTTAAAGCTACTTTATTTTTTATGAATAAGGCCATTGGTCTGCACTTAAATGGCCAATTTTGCTATTTAAATATGAGATATGCAACCCTGTGTTTATACCAAACAACCAAAGGGAATTCTAGTTACCTCATCCTTTCCCAAGGTTGCATCACTGGGGCGGTAGCCCCAGTTAGGTCACACAGAAAGGATAATTCTACATAGTAAGTGTTATAATCCCTAAGCGCGGCCGAAGGCCGACTACGCAGAAAGGAATTCTACGCAAAAATACTGTGGACGCAAGTAAAAATTGCGATTTTTGGCCATTTTTCTAAGGGGTCCGTAGGGAACCATAGGGGGCCTAGGTGGTCGGGGGTTGCATTTTTGTCAATGGCAGTTTATGCCCTCTCCAAAAAGGTCGGTTGGAGGTGTCACGCCCACTCCCCCTTTGCCCACCACACCTTTAACGAACGGCCATAATGGAAAGTTTCCCCGCGGGGTGCAAGGGGTAAAAAAAGTGGAATTTTCAATATTTTCAAAAGCTTATTTTTCGGAAGCTATTGAACCGATTTTCAAAACGTGGATAAGGCTGGAAAGGTAATTGAAATACCTTTCATTAAGTATGTATACTTATCTCTATAATATATTCGTATTTCGAGAAAAACGGGATCATGTCCTTTAAATCAAAATATATGTTTTTCTTAAAAAAAATACGTAATCAATAAAAAGGTAGTATATCAGAGCAAAACAGTATTTTAAGAAATTTTGAAATTTTGGAGTCTTTTTTTTAATATACATAGTTAATTACGTATTTATTAAAGAAAAACATTAATTTTTTTTTGAATTGCTATAATTTGTTTGTTTTTTTAGTTTTCTCGAAATATGTGATCTTTATATATATAGATATACACATCAACTTCCTGTCCAACCATATCCACGCTTTGAAAATCGGTTTAATAATTTTTGAAAAATAATTTTTTAAAAGTAGTGAAAATTCTGCTTTTACCACCTTTTAGCACCGCCTCTATTAATTTGCACTAAACATTTTTTATACCGTTAGAATTAATGAAAGAAGGCGAACTATGTCCACTTTGTCTTTTTTTTAGCTGAACGGGCCCTATTTTTTTCACTTATACTCAAACAATTTAGGTTGTCAAATGAACTCGCACAGTTTTATCAGTTGTTTTCCTAAATTGTAGCAGTGCTGGAAATTTCCATTGGAATATTAGTTTAGGTACTAAAATTTAGGTCTACTCGCACACAGCCTTAAGGGCCGTTTAAATATTCATTTGAAATTCTTACTTTTGACGACAAAACTGAGCCTTAGAGAGCCCTTACTTACTGACTTGCTTACTTTTTACTTCTATAACCAATTTACCAAGCTCAGGATGAAACAAACTGTAACTCCAAGCATTTTCGTTTTAATAAGACCTATTAAATAAGTTTCTAAATTTTAACGGGATTTGTTAAACTTTTTGAAAGGCTTTGTTAAACTTTATTTTACTTTACTATACAAACCTAATATCTTATTAGCACTAATCGGAGGTAGAAGCTCCTGTTAAATACGACTGCTTTATCGATCACATGTTATATGCCTGATGTCGAAAACGTCGATAATGATGTTTAACCGGCAAGTAGTGATAACCAGACATTGAACAACAGGCCCTGAGTATGCATAAGTGGCCTATAACTCTTATCGCCATATATAATAATATGCATGGATATATATATTATAATAATCATAATAAGCACTTACTGCATTGAGAGTTTCACATTAGGCTACGTCTTGTAAATTCCACAAAAACCCTTTTTTTTCTTGCTCTAGCTGCAAGCTTACCATTTGTTACAGTGTAATATAAATAGCAAAATGTTAAACTTACCGTAATGGCATTACACAAATATTTTTGTTCAATTTTCTCGTTGGTAGCGATCTCTATTTTAAGCAGCAGAGTACACTCAACATTAGAAAGCACCGTCTTTGCTATTTTAATTCACAATAGCATTTATCCACTTCTCTATTGTCGTTTTTTTTTTCATAGAATTTTGGTCTACTGAATTTACCACTGTGCACACAAATTCACTTTTCAATTACTTTACTCCAATATTTCATGCATATTCCCGTTACATTCCTTACATTTCTATGATAATTCAATGTACTTGTCACCACGTAACTTCCGCGCAAAAATAGCGCACAATAGAATCTAATTCATGGATTTGGGGATTCGATCTTAGACAGCGCGAGAATACAAGCTTCACAGAGCTTCATTCACTGCATTTACAGAATGGAATCAAATGAAAACTCGCCTTTGACACAATTTTCCTTAGCAACTTTTCAAAATTCAAAATTTACACTTTAGCTTACATCGCGATCTGCAATTTAAACTATCCTGTGATAACACACAATTCAGCGTTTACTTTCCACTATATTTGTATATTTTCACTTGATATTTATAAGCGATTTTATTGTCTTTGCATTGTGAAAAATTGTTGACGACCAACACGAAATACGAAACTTTTCTATACTAGAGCAGTGCTGTCAAAACGCGTTCATCGGCTCAACGACCCGCCAGGGGACCATTTAAAACAATGTGCATAAGCAAGACAACACTTTAACACACCCGTTCGTTGATGTCGATGCATTTCGCACTCGGCAGGTTTTCGGAACTACAATGTTGCCTAATTAATTCGAGTAGAATTTTTAAGTTGCAGCATTTACGGTAACGAAACATTTTTTATTGATTTTATTTCCTAATTTTCACAATTTAAAATAATATACGCGCAAGTTTTGAGAACAATCGAGTGTAATCAATGAATAAATTAATGCCAAGCAGTTATGTACTCAGTTTACCGCTGGTTGCAATTGCATTCTGCAAGTGAAAGAGATAACTAATGTGACGATTTGGAAGTTGAAGGGTAATCGCTTCACTGATGCGAGGGCTCCAACAGCCAACTTTCGATTGTGAACTTCAATTTGTTCGTTAGTGATGCAAAAGAAGAAGTCTGTCGGTAATTAGGGTACGGTACAATGTCAATTGTACCTTGT